GTCTCGTGAAAACCAACGTTTGTTAACAGGAGCAAAGGAAGCAAAGTTTCCTTACTTTAGCAAAGGAAAACCAGTCTCCTCTTGGCTTATATCGAAATCCTCCGACATTCTTCTTTACAAATCCTCGTTTTGTACTTCTAAGTGACCTGTGTTTTGTTTTGATCTCTCCCCTGCGCTTCCACGTGCGTCACTTCTGAGCGGTGCATGCACAAAGTAGAAGAAAGTCATATACACCTAGGATGACTTGAGGGTGAGTAATTTGTGGGCTAATTTAAATTTTTCGGTAAACTAACCCTTTAAAGAGATAGTTCATTCAAAATGAAAATGTTGTCATTTATTCACTCTCATGTTACTCTAAACCTGCATGACTTTCTTTTTCTTCTGTGGAACACAAAAGAATATATTTTGATAGTATTTTTTTCTATACAGTAAAAGTCAGTGGCATCCACTAATGTTTGGACCCTAACGCAGGATTATTATAGTTACCTAAAACTAAAACCATTAAAAAAATATATAAATTAAAAGAAAAAACTTTTTTATTAATTCAAATAAAATCAATAACTATTTAAATACTAAAATAAACTTAAAAATACACTTATTTTGTTTCATTTAGTATAACTTGATGTACTAAAATAACTAAAACTAGAAGTACAAATTTATTAAAAAATCAAATTAAAAAACAAATAAAAAAAACTTTAATTAAAAGTGACAAAATTATTAACATTTTAAAAATTAAAACGAAAATGGAAAATATAAAATAAAAACAAATTCAAAATATTAAGAAAAACTATAATAATCATTGATACTAAAATAACCCCAGATAGATAGATCATGCACTGATGATGAATTGTGCAAAAAGTTATACATGGATTAATAATGGAAACAAGGAAAATTGTGAATGCGTGTTCACTTTAAATACAACACATTCCCTGTTTCATCCAATATACTTCCTAACACACACACACAAGTACAACCATGCACAAGATCCACCTCATCAATTCACGCTGGAGCCATGTCGGGCCCATCCTGGTTTTCTTCCCATAGTTTACACTGTACCCTTCACACAGCCCACATGAATCATGTAGATCATTGCTGCTGATTCTGTATAAATATGCATCAGCATGGCAGCTCAGCGCCTGGAGAGCTTTATTAGATGCCAGCTGTGCCAGGACAATGGGGCAACATTCATTTCTTGCCTTATTCATCATAAAACACATATGCCGGCACACGCTACACACACGGTCGGGTGCCAGGCAGCTGATGTAGTTTACCCACGGCGAGTGCCAATCAGCCCTGCTATCAAACTGGCACAATTCCCACAGCAACAAACACACAAGCTTCCTTCATATTCCTCTGAATCTCATGTGTCCCTCTTCCTCATCTCTGCCTTTATCAATTCTCTCTTTCCATGTGCCAAAGGAGATAGTTATCTCTCCTCCTATACAGCCATCTCAGATTAATACTCATGCTTTGAAAAAGCCACAGCAGAGAGAAGAGACACAGATAACAGGAGTTTTCAAATCCCAAACGAAATTTGCAATTCAGAACTAAGAAAAAAAGGGGGGAGGATCCAGAATGATGGAAAGCATCTCAAAGGAGGAAGCGTGTGAATGACAAAGACTTGCTGACTTAATTTGTTCAGTGTCTCAGATAAGCCTCATTTGTAGCAATGCATGCTGGGAAAAAAGGCAGTGGCGCATGGATAAAATCTGCCCTTAATAATGGATATGAAACAGGTAGATGACACGAGGAAGACTGATCTGAAAGATAACGACACTCGCTCTGGCTCCAAGATGAAATGAGGCACACAGACTTCCACATCTGAGACACAAAACACAGTTCTGGTGAAAACAGCATCTAGTTCTTAAAACACAGCCTACACTACACAGCAGCTCTGGTCCAAGACCTAGTGTGCTTCATTTTGGAGTAGTCATCGCATATACTACTGAGATGAACATGTTCAATAAAAACATCCATCCATCATTTCAGACTACTCCTATTTGTAGTTTCATAAATCTAATTTATTTAAGTAAATTTAATATATAACATACATATATATATATATATATATATATATATATATATATATATTATTATTTTATTTTTTTTAAGTATAATATAAATATATAAATATACGTACATCAGGGGTCAGAAATTGATTTAAAAATATATTTTTTTTAATTATACTTTTATTTAGCAAGATATTTCTAATGTTACAAGAGGTTTAAATAAATGCAATTCACTGTAAAAAAAAGAATAAAAATTATAACATTTTATTACATTCAATAATATTTCATAAATGACTGTTTTTAATCAAATAAATGCAGCTTTGGTAAGAATAAGATACTTTATTATATAATTTACACACATAGTGAAGAGAATAAGATTGAAATAGAGGAAGAAAGGTTTTGAAATGTAACTAAATTTAATTATAATTGGAGCCAAAAAAAAAAAGGTTTATTCTTTAGGTATTCATGAAGGCTCTGCTTTATTTCCATTAACACAAATGTTAAAAATTTCTTTATCTCCAAAGAAACATGAAAACTAAAGCAGCCTACAGAATGAAAAAAAATGGGACCAGGTTGTTGAACACAAGGCACTGCAAAGAACTACTGAAGAACCTTAATTTTGAATAAATATCATATGATGCGATTT